TAAAAGAAAAGATTCTTTCATTGTTTTACAAACCCTCCCCCAGGTCCCCTCCACCATGCAGCCCTCGCTCTAGTCTCCTGTGATGACAGAAATACCCAGTTCCATCTCTCTTTTAGACGGTTCTCTCCCTCCTCTGCTTCTAAAAATGTCAACTTTATTCTTCCTTTTGATTTTTTTTCACTCTTTGCATTTTCCATTAAAATACTTTTATCTTCTCACGTTGCCCTTTGAAATTTTCAATTCAGCCCTCCCTTCATTTCTTCCGTTCACTTTATCTTCTTTATGATCTAGAGTAAATTTCAGAGTCTCTTCTGACATTCATTTTGGTTTTGTCTTCTTTCCTTGTCTTTAAATGACCCTTTGCTTTCATGTATTACAAGCTTGATGTTAACTCCTAAGTCATCTAGTCTTTGTTCAATATATCAAATCTAATCTTCAGATCATCTCCAAATTCAGGTGAGATATACTCAAGGTCAGAAGAAACTCTAAACTCTAAACTGCACTAGAGAACTGAGAAGTCAAAGTAAATGGAAGAAAGCAGGAAGCTAAGGAGCAATCTTTTGCATCTTTAAAATATTCTGAACAGAAGATTTAAAAGGGCAGCTCAGGGAGATCCAAGATGGCGGTGGAGGCAGAGACAGTGTGGTGAGCTGCAGGAGCAGCGAACCACTTAAAGCAGGGCCATTATCGCCTTCCACAGACTTCGGCTTATTGATAATTGAACACTTAAACAGGTGATGACTGGCCCTCAGTGAAGATCAAGGCTCAACAACAGGAATTCAAGGATTCCCAAGGAGAAATGGGTGAGTCTTGTGGCTCCCAACCCCCCCCTGCAGAGCCCATGCCACACCACACAGCCGCTGCAGCTCCATGAAGCTTTCACAGCCAGAACGAATGGATTCCCTCACCCAGGATGGATGCTGGGCACCGGCCCTCCTCAAGTCTGGTACACCACACTGCTCCAAGGTGGACTTGGTCTGGAGAGAATTCTTGGAGCCAGGATGGCGGCTGTGAGGGAAGCGGGTGCCCTCTGGCCACCCGCACAAGAGGGGCCGTGCACCCGCCAAGCGCCCGTGTGGCGGGGGGGCGCCCCCAACAGCCGCCCGCACTGGGGGCGCCGCGCGCTCCCGCAGGCCTCCAGTGCTGGGGGGGGGGCTTGCCCTGCTGGCCGCCTGCGTAGGAGGTGGGGGATGGGATGCATGCCCGCCATCTGCAGGTTTGGGTTTCCTTGAACAGGCCAAAGAAGATGATTACCTATGCACTGGACAGGCAATGGGTTGCTGAAAGTCACTGTGAGTCTGATGACCTTAACAGTGGCAGCATGCACAAGAGGACCGACATCCTAAATGCACCACATATTTTGTTCTGTTGAATGCTTCTGCCAAAAGATGGTTAGACCCGGGGGGAGTCTGTTCACAATTCTCAGGTTCCCTTTATCGTATATAAAGGGGGAGGGCAGTGACACCTACTTCAAAATATAGTATAAAGTGGCAGTGCTGGAATTGGAAACACTATCCCTGACCACAGAGTCCTCAGTCAGGCGAGGGGACCAGACTGGGGTAGGGGCAATTGGAGGGGGAGTATACCAGCCAGCTCCTGGGGGGTGTTGCCGCGGCCCTCTGCCCGGGCGAGCTGCCCTCAGCCCCCGGCTCAGGGTGAGCCGTCGCGGCCCTCAGGGTGAGCTCCTCAGTCCCCAGGTTGTGCCATCTGACCCCTGGGTGGGGAAGGAGAAAAAAAAAAGAATGCCTAGGGTATCCAATGTTACCTAGGCCACCTTCTGCCACCCTCCCCCCCAGTAAACCTGAAAGCAACACCCTCAAAGCCCTTCTATTTGTAACTCACAAGTTTGTTCTCTCTAGGTTTGCTCCCTTTCCTATAGGAAAAGGAGTTTCCTTAATGAAACTCTTAACTCTGAGTTTTACTCCAGAATTGACCCTGAACCCAGTGCCAGTGACAAAAAGGAAATACAACTGACAGCTAAGGAAGCAAAGGAGGATGGAGCCTCTGGGTTCAACCAGCCATCCCCACAGGACCCACCTGGGAAAACACTTTGCAGTCCAGAGGGGAGCAAATGACAGGAAAAATATCTTCTAACAGAGCAAGAAGGCAAGCAGCTTTAACCTAAGACCACCAGTAAGGTGATAAAGCGCCCTCCCTTCCCCCCTTTACATCTATGCCCCTGTTCAGCATGAAGAAGCCAGAAAGTCGGCATTTAATTCCCAAATCAATAAGACAGTTGGTTTAATTACTATTGGAAATTGCTTGTCATTCCTCTGTAGCATCTAGTCCCCACTGGACCCTCATTATTTCCTTCACCTGCTCCCCCCACCGACCAAACTGTGCAACTCTGCAACTGCATCCTGGCCCATCCTCACCCTTCTGCCCCCCCAACCCTCATCTCCTTGTACCCCCAATATGTTTTTTCCCAATAAAAAATACATACATACATACATACATACATACATACATACATACATACATACATACATACATACATAAAAAAGGGCAGCTCAGGAAGACACTACCAAGTATTATAATGAAATGTGCAAAAGCTGGAATCAGAAAATCAAAAGGGCTGAACTCATTTGGCATTTCTTAAACTGAAGAAACTAAAGAATAACTTCAAGCCTCAAGTTTTAATACTTAAAAGACTCTATGGGCAGAATATTGAATGATCCAGGAAGTATTAAAAGAAAATGGAAGGAGTATACAGAGTCACTGTACTAAAAAGAACTGGCTGACACATGATTAAGAAGCAATGGTGATGAAGGAGGAAGATCAGGCTGCTCTGAAGGATTTGGCAAAAAATAAGGCCCCAGGAATTGACAGCATACCGATTGACATATTTCAACAATCAGATGCGCTTGGACGTGCTCACCAGGTTGTGACAAGAAATCTGGAGGACAACTACCTGGCCAACTGACTGGAAGAAATCAGTATTTACTCCCATTCCCCCCAAAAAAATGACCCAACAGAGTGCGGAAATTATCAAACAATATCACTAATATCACACACAAGCAATATCCTGAAGATTATCCAGAAACGACTGGAACAGTACATTGACAGAGAACTACCAGAAATACAAGCTGGGTTTAGAAGAGGTCATGGCCTAGTGATATTATTGCCAATATCAGATAAATCTTAACAGAAAGCAAAGAATACCAGAGGGATTTCTATCTGTGTTTCATTGACTGTACAAAGGCATTTGGCTGAATGAGTCACAACAAATTGTAGCTAACCTTGAGGAGAATGAGAATCACAGAACACTTTATTGTGGTTATGCGAAGCCTATACTTAGACCAGGAATCTTCCTCCAATCCTGATGCCACACTCCTCCTCATAGGGCCCAGCCTCCGGGATGATCTGTATAAAGACTGAAAAGGTATGGAGATAGGATACATCCCTGGTGTACACTTTTTATTTTGAATGATGCAATGTTTCCTTGCTCTTCTGATGACCACCTTCGGGGCCAGGCATAGGTTTTGCATGAGCCAAATCAAATGTTCTGGGATTCTCACTCTCCTCAAGGTTAGCTAGAATTTGTTGTGATCCACAAAGTCAAATGTCTTCGCATAGTCAATGAAACACAGATAGAAATCCCGCTGGTATTCTTTGCGTTCTGTCAAGATTTATTTGACATTGACAATAATGTCTCTTGTGCCACGACCTCTTATAAGCAACTATTAATCTGCTGTGTAATCATCCCCTTATCTTGTTCTGACTAATGATATTGAACTTCTCAATCATCTTTTTTTCACAGATGTAGCTGGTTTGATTCCTTTGCATTCCATCTGGTGAAGTTCCTGTGTATTGTTGTCATATTATGTTTTTGAAAGTAGTATTACAGTAAGTGGTCTTTGATCTTGCAAAATTCTATCGTAAAATCTCTGGTGTTGTCTTTGTGACCAAGATAATATTTTCCAGTTCTTATTTGTTTCCAACTTTGACATCCCAATCATCAGTAATTGTCAATGTCCCTTTAGTACATGGCTAGTCCGTTTCAGACTGTAGAAGCTGGTAAAAATACTCAATTTTGTCAT